AGTGAAATTAATGACTTTTCATATTTTAAGAAGCAAAACAATTTAAATTTGAGCATTGGAAAGTTCAATTTATATAATTAATTTCTGAAAGAATGACAGAATTGATTGTGCTTATGTAATTGTTTTCGTCGTCCACGAGCTTCCCCATCGCCTCAGATGTTTCTCGGAATGTTGTCTTTTCCCGCCTGACGATTCTGAGCGCTAAAACCTGGTGGAGCTTCGAGCTACAAAGCTCCATATTTATTTGAGCGTCAAAAATTTTGTAAGGCAATGACGAATATGGACCACCCACGAGACGATCGCTCTCCATTTTTACATAGCTATATACCAAGAATTGAGGTAGTAACAATTTAAAATAGTTTTCACAGACCATAATCTGAATCAATCAATGGGTACACGCTCTGTTTGTATGACTATCTTGCAACTAATATACAGGATATTCTTTAGGACAGATGTAAATCCATGAACCGAGATGTTATGGTTATGCTCGACTTTGAAGAAGAGTTGCGCCTCAGCCCATGAACTTGATACCGTCTGTCGGTCTGCGCCTCCGTATGGCCCATAAAATACCTGTAAAATTCAGACATGACTACAATTTTTTCGYTCCGACTGTTTTCATGTRAAAGTTAGCACTAAAMCAATATTTGTATTGAAATAATTTCTTGCACATATAAATAATTTTTATAGAAATTTCGGAAAGTATTATTTTGTAATTTAGAAAAATATTTGGATATAATGTTATTCTTTAATTTAATTTAGTTCTTTTAATTATAAAAACCAAAAAAAAAATGAGCTTTACTTCTTAGTTACCTTTAAAAAAAATCAATTTGAAGTATTTTACATATAATTATTTGACTGGGGTATGTACTTACTCAAAAATATAAAAAAGTACATTAAACAAGAATTACAATCCAGTAAATTCTGCTTGCTGAAATAGGCTAACTATTTTCGCTTTAAACTAGTTACTTATCGAATCTTCAAAATCAAACTCTATACTATAAGATKTTTTATAGCTTGAGAAATTTCCCAATAAGGAAAGAAGAAATCCAAAAAAGTCCTTTTTGTTTTAAGATATAAATACTTAGTATCCGTCCGACAACGTCGTCTGGCGCGGCCTGCAACTTTTTTGTGATGGCCGTCCAGTCATCCGCGCTCGCGGCCTGCCTACTGCACCCTTCACCATTTGTCMAGGAGGGTACATGTGATATGAGATATTTTCCCGCAGTAAAACGTAGCCTACTATATGTGTTATTGTCAGCTAATTAACAATAATTTTTATTTAAATCCCAACAGCCGTTTAATCGTGAAGAAAACTTTGGCCTTTACCTTACAATACTAGATAGCACGTAATATATAATTTAAGAAATTTCTGATAAAATTGTCGAGTGACAAAATTGGGTTTTGCTTTAAACCGAATATATCAAATTATATTTGAGTTATCTCAGTGAAAAGAGCGGAGCATGTTTCTTTKTTAATATATCTTTGTGCGAAAAAATTAAGTGATAACTTGCCCCAGCCCCATTTGACTAATATCACGTTTTTCGACTCCAAATATAATATATTGGTGAATGTAATCATGAACCTCAGGGAGGAAGTGATTAAAATGCGGCATACATTATAAAAGTTTGTTGTATTACCAAAAATAAATAAAATCGACTCAATATATCCCTTAGATGCTTAGCATACGACGTCTCACACATCGACTGAAAGAATTGTGGTTTGGAGCATTTTACACATTAATTTAATGAGTAATCAACCATAAAGTTTTGACTTACTGAATTTTTTGGTTCTGTTTAGGAAAGCCTTACAATAAGAATTCAAAATTAAATATATTTAAAACTAAAGAAGCTCAAGAATGTGGTTTAGCTTTTTTGGTGGAACGATGCTCTCTAGTAGGCTAGTAGATCACTTCTTTTTAAACGTGTTTGTTAACAGGAATTTGCCAGAGCTTTAGCCAATGGGTTTGGATGTTCGCGAACTTTAAAAATATATCTCATTCTGCTGTCCTCTGTCTCCTTCTTTACCATAGGAATATCAAAATCTTTATGAATGTTTTAGAATAGAACCTTTGTATTATATCAATGGTGGTTGCAAAGGTCGTACCCCGTAGTTGAATGCCATACATCGAAATTGATTTAATGATTGCATTGTATAACTGGACTTTGTTATCTAAGCTAATTTTAGAATTTTTGTTTAAAAGTCTATTTAAATTGTCTGCTCTTAATTTCATGCAAGTCATTTTGCTCGCTGTATGCTTTCGCCACGTGAGCCTTCGATCCAGGTGAATCCCAAAATAAGTTACTTCATTCGCTTATGGTATTAGAACGTTGTGTATTTTAACTTTGCTCGTTAATATTTATACGCCAGTTGGCTAAGTGCTGCTCTAACACTCTTGATGCTCTGATGGGCATTTGTTACGTAGCTAACTAGAGCTGTGTCATCAGCGAAAGAGGATATACGTTAAAAGCTGTTGGAATGTCTGCTATATATTATGTACAGAGTTGGGCCTAGCATCAACCCTGAGGTACACCAGCCCTCATTACTCGTTCTCCTGATATAAAGTCTAACTGCTGTTTCCTAAATATGACTCTAAAGTTTTATGCAATTCGTAAGGTAAAACGATTGAAGGCCTTCATGCCAGACCTAATCGAACGCCTGAGCTACGTCTAACAAAATAGCTAAACATTTCTCTCTGCGCTCGGAACAGATACCGAGAGTTGAAGACAGACAGAAAAAGAAAGAGGCCGAAATGCGTGAGTACGAAGAGCTTGACAAGCTGGCCGACAGGGGTAATGCCCGCAAATTCTACGAAAAACTGCGGCAGCTTACACAAGGTTTCAAGGCCGGATCTGCGCCAACTACAGTGGGATAAGCTTCCTCAACATCGCATATAAGGTTCTATCGAGCAAATTGTGTGAAAGATTAAAGCCCRCGGTCAAGAAACTGAAATCAACACCCCGACAGCTATTCACCATGCGCCAAATCTTGGAAAAGACCCGTGGAAGAAAAATCGACGCACACCACCTCTTCGTCGATTTCAAAGCTGCTTTCGACAGCACGAAAAGGAGCTGCCTTTATGCCAGGATGTCTGAATTTGGTATCCCCGCAAAACTAATACGGCTGTGTAAACTGACGTTGAGCGACACTAAAAGCTCCGTCAGAATCGGAAAGGACCTTTCCGAGCCGTTCGATACCAAATGAGGTTTCAGACGAGGCCCCTCGCTCTCGTGAGGCTTCTTCAACTTGGTTCTGGAGAAAATAATTCGAGCTGCAGAACTAAATAGAAAAGACTCTTCTACAATAGTGTACAGCTRCTGGCGTACGTCGATGATATTGATATCATTGGCCTCAACATCCGCGCCGTTAGTTCTGCTTTCTCCAGACTGAGCAAGGAAGCAAAGCAGATGGATTTGGAAACTTGGTAGACGTATTTCTTGGCTTCATAAGAAGATTAAGTTCACAGATGGGGAAAATCGGCCGACTGCCACGCCCGCAAAATGGTGRAAACCGAAAACCTATAAAGTGTCATAACTAAGCCATAAATAAAGATATGAAAATGAAATTTCGCACAAATTTCGCAATTTTTTTGGAAAAGTGGCCGTGGCCCCGCCAACTACTAACTTTTTTGTACATATCTCGAAAACTACTATAGCTACGTCAACCACACTGTAAAGAGTCGTTTCTTTTAGGCGTTTCCATATACAGTTCGAAAATGGAAGAAATCGGATAATAACCACGCCCACCTCCCATACGAAGGTTATGTTGAAAATCACTAAAAGTGYGTTAACCGACTAACAAAAAACGTCAGAAACACTAAATTTTACGGAAGAAATGTCAGAAGGAAGCTGCATCCAGGCTTTTTTTTTAAATTGAAAATRGGCGTKGCGTTGCCCACTTATGGACCAAAAACCATACCTCAGGAAGTACTCAACCGATTTCAATGAAATTCGGTACATAATATTTTCCTATCACCCTGATGACATGTACCAAATATGGGTGAAATCGGTTCACAACCCCGCCTGAAATCTCGATTTTCACTTTATCATGCGAGAGTATAAAATGTTCGGTGACACCCGAACTTAGCCCTTCCCTACTTGTTTATTAACAAGTTGAAACTCGCTCATTGTACTTCCACGTCTAGTTTATACATACTACATATGTATGTTGTCTGCGGTAATAATGTGGTGAATTCGTTAGAGTGGAATAAAAGTGTATCTTTCGGTATTAATTTACTAGCTATGTTTTTTTGTGTACGAACCTACTTTTAAAACCAGTTTTTGGAGTAAACTACAAACTAACAAGTGGAAGAATTATACAGAAAGTATTGAAGTAGCTGCGAAGGCTTTAGTGGCACGTAATATAATTTATATACCTGCAAAAAAATATTTTTTGGGAATATATAGTATTTTATAAAAAGTGGTTAATACAATGAAAACATCTGATCGAATTAAATTCAAGTTAAAGAACAATGCTGAAAATATTAAACCTCCAAAAAAAGATAAAGTGTAAGACTACATTATATATAATTGCCTTTACCATATATATAGAGAATTTCGTTCCGTGCCATTATATACAAAAGAAACAAGAGCAAACTTGCACTCTGGCCTGCATTTGGATGTTTCAAATTATGTGTATGCTCATATATTTGAAAAATGAAGAACTAAAAACGCGTTCACTTTAAATTAAATATGTACTATATACATTGTTATACACTATTTCAAGTTTGAAGCTGCATATACATGTTTATATATTATTATGCAGTTGCAAGAATACCTACATAAGTATATTTATAAGTTTTCCTTCAAAAATTAAAGGATTCACTAACATCCAAAGTGATGATACATGTTATATTTGCAATATTATTGAAAATAATAAGAATAAGACTGTTCTTCATTCTACGATATTAATTTCTTGTTGGCAGTAGAGGTTAGTTTACTCATTGACACGCCGTCTATGTGACGTGCARTAACACATATTAGTTTATGTTTTGACTTTAGAAATTTTAGTGCCTTAAAATGATTTAAAACGTGATATATTATTTTAAAAAATAAACCCTAAAATTTTATTTATGTCATTAAATACTAAAATCCAAGTGAATTTTCGCACATTTTCCTTTTTTCTTTGACTTACCAAAGCATTCATTGACAGATTGTGTCCACCTATTTACAAAATATAGTTCTACGAAGTTGGAACGTATGTCAGTGTTTCGTTTAGTATAATAGCTTTTAAATTTCAAAATGTTAAAAAAAAAATTCTTAAGTTACAAAACTTTAATGTGCACCACGCAAAATTCCATCTGCAGTTAAAATAATGTGCTGCCCATCGAAAATTTCGATGTTTTTTCTTCTAAACTTCTAATGCTTTATCTATCACAATTTGTGGACAAAATTTTTTACAGTTCTTGGTACAGTTTTTTGAAATAGAATAGTTCCCATCACTATCTATATAAAGGTTATGTTCAAAACTACCTAATGTGTCATACGCAGACTACTGAGGTATAGTTCCCCATAATCCTATAGCACACATATACGTTCGAAATTAATTGGCAACCAATTTAAAGAAAATCAGAAATAACAATAATAAAATAAAACAAGAAACAAGGGCTAAGTTCGAGTGCATACATACATTTTATATTCTTGCAACTTGGAGAAATCAATGCGAGGGAAATACCTTAAAGCGTAAAATGTCAACCAAAAGATCGTAATCCAAGCAATTTTTTTTTTACATTAGTGTGTGTTTTTTTGAACTATTCATTTCCTTCAATAACAACACGAAATTTTCTTTGGAAATACCCTAAAAATTTCCCTGAAAATTACAGCCCTTAATATTAACATTAAGAACATGAAAATCCTGCTTTTATCTTTGAATTTTTATATATACAGATTTTTTAAATATTAATGATAGCGATTTTGAGGTCGGACCTTTTTTGTAGCAAATAAAATTTCCTACAAGTTAGTAGTTGCAATTTTCGAAGAAGTCGCACGATAGGTAGTCGCCTTGTCTGAAACCTCGYTTGGTATCGAAAGGCTCGGAGAGGTCCTTCCCGATCCAGTCGAAGCTTTTGATATTGCTCAACGTTAGTGTGCGCAGCCAATTTGTTTTTGCGGGGATATCAAACTCAGATATCGCGGCATAAAGGCAAGAAATGGACGAAGATGTGGTGTGTGTCGACTCTCCTTTCACGGGTCTTTTCCAAGATTTAACGCATGGTGAATATCTGGTCAGTTGTTGATTTGCCAGGGCTRAAGCCACACTGATAAGGTCTAATCAGTTTGTTGACGATGGGCTTTAAATTTTCGCACAATACGCTCGATAGAACCTTATATGCGATGTTGCGGAGGCTTATCCCACGGTATTTGGCGCAGATCCGGCCTTGAAACCTTGTGTAAGCCGCCGCATATTTTCGTAGAATTTTCGAGCATTACCGCTATCGGCCAGCTTGTCAAGCTCTACGTACTCACGCATTTTGGCCTCTTTCTTTTTCTGTCTGCAAATGCGTCTCGCTTCCCTCTTCAACTCTCGGTATCTATGCCATCCCGCACGTATTGTGGTCGATCGTAACGTTGCGAGGTAGGCAGTCTGTTTTCTCTCCGCTGTGACATGGCACTCCTCGTCTTACCAGCTGTTCTTTCGCATTTTCCGAAAGCCAATGGTTTCGGTAGCAGCTGTACGTAAGGAGTTTACAATGACGTCTCACAGTTCCCTTATACCGAGTTGTTGACTAGTGCTCTCAGAGAGTAGGAGTGCAAGTCGAGTAGAGAATCGTTCGGCTGTCTGTTATGATTACAGCTTCTCGACGACGAACTTTCCTTGTGTTTATTGACGTGCGCTTTTTGCTGCACAGAGGGGGGTGAGAATCTTGTCTGCAACAAGAATATTTCGGTCTCCGGCTAAGTCGATCAGTCTTAACACATTTGGGGTTGTTTCATCGTAGATGCTGAATTTACCGATCGTAGTGCCAAAGATACATTCTTTGCCCCCCTGGCGTTAAAGTCGTCAAGCACGATTTTGACATCGGGGCGGGGGCAGCTTTCATAGGCGCGCTCCCAGCGCTCATAGAAAGCATCTTTTCTCATATCATCCTTTTCTTCCGTCGGGGCGTGGGCACAAATAAGCGATATGTTGAAGAACCTCGCTTTGATGCGGTTTGTGGCTAGACGTTCATTCACCGGAGTGAATGATAGTACTCGGCGACGGAGTCCCTCTCCCACTATGAATTGCACACCACATTKGCGCTCCTTTATATGGCCACTGTAGTAAATGCTACAAGAACTTACTCGTCTCTGTCTTTGTCCCGTCCATCGCATTTATTGGACGGTGGTGATGTCAGCCTTTATTTTCACGAGAACATTAACCAGCTGGTCAGCGGCACCTTCCCAATTAAGGAGGCGGAYATTCCAGGTGCATGCCCTCAGTTCATAGTCCTTATTTCGTTTGCCATGGTCGTATTCAAAAGGGCGGTTTCTCTTCCGAGGCTGTTGGTAATTTTTCATTGGTAGTATTTTTTAAGTGGCGGGTCCCAAACCCAGAGCACAATCTAGTAAGGAAGAGCTAAGTTCAGGTGTAACCGAATATTTCATACTATTTCAACTTTTAAAGATTAAAGCTAGGAAAGTACATCCACGTTCATAAGGCTTGTTTATTTATATATATTTACACCCAATTTATTCTTCCTAAGATTCACCATTTTGCGAAAAAGAGGCTATCTCAATTTTACTAAGATATGATATAACTCACATATTGTCCGACATACTCGATATAAAGTCATCCGGAAGTTCAAAACTCTTTATATTAGGTATATTTGGGATTATGGAAGTATTAACACGATTTTGCCCATTTGTAACATACAGATATGCTACTATAAGGAAGGGTTCAGGGTTTGAACAGTTTTGGCTCTATTTATGCAATTCTGAGTCATTCGGTGGCACACCTCAAGTAAACTATTTGTGCAAAGTTTTATTCTAATATATTAATTTATTCTTGATTTATACATTGGAAAGTGAGAGTTTAAAATGGAGTTTTAAAGTATGTTGTACAATATAAAGAGTAGGCGTGGCCGCAGCCCGATTTCGCCCAATTTCATAGTAGAATCGAAAAATGTCAGAGAAATGCCACTTAGCAAATTTGAAAATTGATTTGAGAATTGATTGAAAATTATATAATATTTGCGCTAGACAAATTTGATTGTTTTAGCTTAAATAGTTTAGCAGATATGTACATTAAACTTATTAGAGGGCGGGGTCCACTTTTTCAAAAAAATTTTGCCCACAGGGGTCCTTTGCTGCCGCAATCCTTTATGGCAAATCAAAGTTTTAGATCTTAATTTAGTGCTTAGTTTTCGAGATTTATGCGTTTTCGGTTAATGGCATTTTGTAGGCGTGGCTGTGGTTCTATTGCGCCCATTAATGGCAACTTTTTTCCAAGGAATTTACTCAAATTACAGCTTATGTTGCCAGAGTATAGAAATTAACATAGTCATACCAACTCATTGGACCTGATATTTTTTCGAATTGTCTTAGTAGTTTCTAAAAAGTTGCTAAAATTAATAATAAATATGGACACTCTTCTTACAGTCTTAAATCCTACATAAATAGAGAAAAATAAATATATACTTTTTGCCAACTTCCATGTGTCATTACGAACAATAATATTCCTATATGTGGATGTGACACGTTGAACCATAGGAGTGATGATACTGTTACAGATTACAGAGGGATGATGTTGCTCTATAGTAGGAGGACAAGASTATATTATATTTATACACTTAGCTACTTATAAATTCAAATATCTGTATTATCCAAATTTCTGTTTCTTCTTCAGAAACAAATGGATAACATTTGGAACAATTATAACTTTGACTATTTGCACGCGTTACTACAAGGTGACAGAACCAGACCATGTTTGGTAAGTAATAACAACCTTATACAATTGCAGTTACTTTAACCATTTTAAACCAAATTTTCTTGTTCTCTAGCTGGGATGAAACACATTTTGGAAAGATGGGTAGCTGGTATATTAATAGAACATTTTTCTTTGACGTTCATCCACCATTGGGAAAGGTATTCTGCTTTTTATATATCTTTATTTATTTACTAAACTATATTTGTTTGTTAATTTTTATGTTTTATACCCTGAATATGGTATATTAAGTTTGCCAAAATATTTGTAACACCTAGAGAGGAATGTCGGAGACCTTAGAAATATATATTTAAACGTTCGGCGGGAATAACTGAGTCGATTTATCCATGTCGGTCTGTCTGTCAGTTTGTCCGTCTGTCGTATGTACGCGAACTAGTTCGTCAGTTTTAAATCATATTATTTTCTTAATAAGAATCTGCTTATTTGCCAGAACCGCCGATATCGGACCACTATAGCATATAGTTGTAATAGAAGCTSAACGAGCACTTGCATTGACACTTTTTTATTTGACGAGATTTCACAAAAGAAATTGTTCAGATTGGAAAAATATAGCATCTAGCCAAACAAACCGAGCAATCGGAATCAAGTTCTTGAAGGGAATTTTTTGTGTTTGTTAAAGAAAAGCTTTGGCGCAACCGAAGGCTAGGCAAGCGATATATTAAGGAACTAAAACGTGTTTTTAAAACTATAAACATAATTATTTTTTTCAATATTATTTTATTTATTGGATCTCCTTTTTCTTAAGGCCTAAAAATAAGTTATAAAATCTTAAATCTATTTAAAAACTAGACAGGCTCAAGCAAGTGATTGAGCTGTTTTGGTGATACGTTGTTCTTTAGTACGCAGGCATATCTCTTCTTTTAAGGCGTGTTTGATCGCAGGAATGTACCAAAGCATTATCAGAAGGATTTGGGTGATCACAGAGTTTAGATAAATATTTAATTCTACCATCTTCTACTTCTTTCTTTACCATAGGAATACCAAGGTCTTTATGGATATTTTCATTACGCATCTACCACGGTGAACACATGATTGTCCTAAGCATTTTTGATTGGAACCTTTGTATTATATCAATATTAGTTGCACTGGTCGTACCCCACAGTTGAATGCCATACTTTCAAATCGTCTTTATGATCGCATTTTATAAAAGAACTTTTTTGTCTAGGCTAAGTAACGAGTTTTTATTTAAAAGTCAATTTAAATTTGCAGCGATAAGTTTGCAGATAGATATGTTTTTTTCCAAGTGAGCCTTCTATCTAGGTGAATACCAAGATGTGATACATCCTACGTTTTAGGTACTAAAATACTGTTTATTTTTAATGCCGGCCATATTTTTGTTCTAAGCCAAAATGTAACATGCTTACGCTTCTGTTCATTCACATTAGTTGTGTCATCCGTAAAAGTTGAAGTTAATACATTATTAGCAATTGGAAGATCTGATGTACATATATATGATATATAGTGTTGGACCTAAAACACTGCCCTGTGGTACGCCAGCCCTTTTCTGTCGTTCATCAGATATGAAATCTCCTACTTTCACCATATTTTTTATTATTTAAATAAGTCTCCAATATTTTATACAATTCTAAAGGTAGAATTTTTTTAATTTTATATAAAACACCTTTATGCCACACCCTATCAAACGCCTGAGCTGCATCTACTTCTATTTACTTCCTCTATTGCGTCATGTTTCGCACGAAATCTGATTTGATGCGTTGGTATTGTATTATTTTCGTGGAGGAAAGGAGACAACTTTGATAGTAATACTTTTCCAAATATTTTGTAAAGGCAGGGTAGAAGACTGATTGGTCTATATGCAGACGGCTGAGTTTTCTTACGTTTATATATCAAGACAATCTGCAACTTTTTCCATGTCTTTGATTGTATCCGAAACTAGGAATTGGAGAGCAAAGTGAGCACCTCTACAGCAATAATTGGTAACGCAATTAGTATTTTTGGGGTAATGTTATCTTGTCCCTGCGCTTTCTTGTGGATTAAGTTCTTTTATGATTCCAATAATATCAGAAGGTGAAGTCTTAAAAGACTCGAGCGACCCTTTGGCTGTGTTGGGTAAGATTGACAGCGTAAGGTTGTTCTTTGGTAAATTAGGTTGAAATACCTTTTCTAGGTGATTTGACAAAAATTAGCCTTTCCCTTGTCACTTCGAACCCAATTTTCACCAAAGTCGTAGGTATGTTGGAGTTAGTTGGTGGCTTCATGGACTTTTGGGCTTTCCAAAGGAATTTTGCTTGTTTAAATTTGGACCCAACTTCGCTTTATATATATTTCGGTGTTCAATTCTTCCTCATGTTTAATCGTATTTTTTTTTTTTAATTTACGTAATTTACATTTCGGAGTTCTATTCTTCCTCATGTTTAATCGTTTCTTGTTTTTTAATTTACGTACAGCAGAGTTTAATTGAAGCTGAGTGGAAGGGAACGATGTATCTGCCATTCACGTCTTTCATGCCCTTTTTCATTTATAAGCTTTTCTATTTCTCTAATAGAGATTTTTCTGAAACCAAGCGGATTATAGCTTTTTTTGGTGTTGCTAAGACAGCTGCGCAGGTTATTATATCATTGACTTCTCTTATGCTTTCGTCAATATCGTATTCGTATTCGTAGGATGATAGTATTTATAATTTGATTACGACGTGCTTGAATTCCGACTGACAATTTCGTTTTTAAGTCTTTATAAACAAGGCAACCCCTATAGTTCGCAGTGTGATTTCCCCCACAATTACTACATATAGGGTGTAATATGATTTCGTGTGTCCATACTCTTGATAGTTTGTGCACTGTCTGCGATTTAGCAAATATTTTAGGTTGTAAATGGGATGTGTTTCGTTTTTTTAAGTTGGCTAGAATTTCGAATCCATTATATTTTGAACATTGGTTGAGGATTTTTGTTTGCTAAAAAATTTGTACCATTGGTTTAGTACTAAAACCACCTTCTTCCAATGGTTCTTTGCTATCATTAGAGTCTACCGAAGACTCTATACCTTTCATGACAGCAACTAGGCCTTTTGAGCTCTTTAGTTTTTAAGAGTAGTAATTTTTGTTATTGTGACATGAAACAGTTTTCGGTTTGAGTTTGTTTGAATTTTTGTTTCATCTATGTTACCTTTTTTCAAGGGTACTATGTGAAAATTATTTGTGCCCATCATATTGATTAATTTTGAGGCATGAGTATTTGAGCTCCGCTCGCGCAAGTAGATTGGAGCGGGTTTGGCATTCACGACTGTGGTGGTACGCTTTGCATAGTCGTTAGGCTCTTTGGTCAGTAATGCAAATCTGTTGCCATTTAAGATTTCTGGCTTTAGACTTAGTTTCCTTTTTACGTTAATGTAGCGATYAATACCAGTCTGAACAGACGTTCTTTGTTTGCTTGGTACATTCTCACCTTGGATTTAGWTTTCCGTCGGTGTTCTGATACTTGCTGACACCTGCATACTGGTTGCTGTCAACACATTTGTTGTTGCCCGATTGCGGTTTTATGCTGCTTTTGCTGACTGCGAATTTTGCTTACTTTCCATTACTGCTGATCGTTGCGATGACTCATCATCGCCGTTACATGTTTTTYTGCCCAGCCTGGTGAGGCTGGGAAGTACTCATTAATGTTATTTGTTTTTTTTTTTTAGTTTTTATCTATTTGTTTCGTGCACTGTTTGTTAATGATTATAATTAATAGTTTGTGTGCACTGGTTTTTGTTTGATTGTTTCTTTTGAAATTATTATTGTTGCTTGTTTACTTTTTTGCAAAAAGCCCTAACATAATAGAACTATTATTACACTCGGCATTTCGATATGTTTGCTTGATTATATTTGAGAAATTCCCAAAATATAACACAACTAGCTTTGCTCCTCAGTATTAGCGGCGGGCCATTAAGAATTTAAATTGTGTATTAAGTTGCCTATAGGCAACATCGGTCAATTGTGTGTAATAAAATTTTGCATATAAGTTATCGTGCTTTTTATTAGAGCTCCGAAAAAGAAGTTATTTTATTTAATTTTGTCCGACCTTCTTTATTAAACTGTTAATTTTATACTTAAGCTAAGAAGTAACCTTAATCTACCTGTCTCGTAACTTGCAGTTCTGTGGAATTGCACCTTTGCGGCTCGTGGCGGATGTTCGCTTCCTGTTGTTGACGAAAATATTACTGTCAGCTATAACTTTATTTCTGATTGCGAAATATTAGCTCAGCTTTATTTGTTATTAAAATATTAGCGTCAGCTATAATTACGAATATGTTTCGTGTTAACTCCTCCGCCGTCAAAAACAAACGACCCCGTTTGTTCGCTGCATTTGATCTTTCAGAGTTATTGACCCTTCTAGAGTTGGTATTTCAGGTGTTTTGACTTCACTATGATCGTTCAGATTAACGTTTACATGGTAATTTGATAGCTCTGTTATACTTGCTTTGCCTTTATTTTTTAGACTCAAAATGGTGGTAATTACGATTATGCACATCATGCAGATGATTATGAGCGAAAAATTGGTAATTAAAGCTGCAGTGTGGGTTATTTTTAATTTTTCCTGATGATGTGTGTTGTTCAGATGAAGCTYCTTCATCATCTCCAAACTTAAAATTTCTTCTTCTTGAAACGATGGTTTATTTGGTTGTGAAATTTCTGCTAACGGTTTGCTAGTAAATTTTTGGTTAAATGAGTATGTTTGGTTTTCTATCCACACCGTGGAATTATGGTATTCTRCTGCATATGATCCGGAAAGATGTATATTTGGCTGTCAATTTTTACTGTACCRTTATATTGGTTTAGTAATATAATACCAGGTGATATATTTTCTACCGATGGTATGTGTTGATTATTTATTAAAATGCATTCTGCCGGTTTGCTCTTTAGTAGACGAGGGACACAGGTAGTGTTGCTTATGTTTTTAATATTTTTGTTATTAAATATTTGTATACTATTATATTCTTTACATTTGTTCCTTATACCAAATATTTTATTATTCTTACACGHTATTACATTTTCAAATGGAATCTTATTTATATTCCTTTTTATTTTTATTGGTTTTATCATAATTGATTCAAGATCTTTATTAAATAACGGTATTTCAATAATGTATAGTAACATAATTTCATTTGATTCAAGTTTAACATTTACTAATTCGATAGATT